CCAGGGCTTTGCAGGGAAGGTTTGTTGTCCTTAGTTTGTTCTTGGTTTTATTTCCTTCCTCCTCAAACAATGCTACTCACCCCTATTTTAGAGAGGAGCGAACCAGGCTCAGGGAGGTGGTGGGTTTAGGAGCTGGAGCTGGAGTGGTCACCTGCCTGTAAATAAACATACAGTCTGATTCTGACAGGAGCCTGTGCTGACAGGAAGCCGGGAGTGAAGGAGAGGGGCGAGGGAACAGGGGTGGGCTGGGGAGGGAGTTAGGCAACCACTGCCCACCTATCTGACCTTTAATCCTTTGTCATTTACTCCCCCAGCTTCCCACAGAATTGCTGGAAACAATGTGCAGAGCAACGTGGGGAAAGGAGAGAGACCTGATGAATCCACAGGTTAAGGGCGCCCATACTCATCCTATTCAGTCAGGACAGGGAACCCGGGTGCCCATAGTGGCACACGGGAAAGACTACACACCATGCCCAGGCAGGACTTCAGCACACAGAAACCTAGCAGAACCTCCCAACAGGACCCTCCCTGGCCCCCAACAAGGCCTTTGTAACTGGAACGGTTCCCTGCTATTAGAAGCATGAATTGTCCCTTTCCTCGAGATCTCTCCTACTAGACAGAGAATCCTCAGATTGGCTCAGAGTGGTTCACCTATGCCAACAGATTGGATAATAAGTCACACCTCCGAGTTTCCCAGTGGGCACTGGGTGGGTTTTGACACTGCATCTGTGTGCAGAGCGCAGCCTTCACATGCTGGTCGGTTTTGTAAGAAAAACAATGTAACTATGTCAGCTAAGCTGCCTCTCCATTCTGACTCACCTTCCTTCACCTTTGCCTGACTGGTGGGAATCCGAGCACTGAGGGACTGGGGCTGAGCTAAGGGAAAGTTGACTTTGGAGATAAGTGGGGAGCAAGTGTACCCCTGTATGGATGAGCGTTTATGACATGAGCATAAGCCAAGGATTCCAGGGCCTCAGATCCATAGCAAATGCCCTCCCCTGGTCCAAGTATGGATGTTGACGCTGTATGCAGAAAGTATTAACCACAGCTTCTTCCTCCCATCTACATCCCGGGACAGATCCACTATAGAGACCTCCTACCAAGGTTAGCTCACCCACCCCCTCAGTCAGCCGTATATGATATACTGAGTTTCTGGGCTGCTGGTGCATCTCTGTAAGAGCTCACAGCCCACCAGATCCAATTTTTCTGCATGTATGTCTGTTATTTCTTTATTCTCCATTGCTCCAGTCCACAGCCATACAGGTCAGGTCACGACAAAGATACATTTAGCTTGGGCTAGTTTACACAGCATATGTGGGTGGTTCCCAGTTACCTCATGTCTAGTTAGATCATTTGCCTCCGTGTTCTGGGGGAAACGGGGTCAGAGGTCATACCTTGATAGTGACCTGTTCTAGGAATGGGTGGGTAGATGAGAAACCAGGTTTTAAATGTGTAGAGTCAGAAAAATTCTGACTAATGTAGAAAGATTTTCCAAAATTTACACTACTATTTAAAATAGATTTCATAAAAGATGTCTTCAATTTGGGAGTTACCCTAGAAGGGAAAATAGCATTAGGTGAGTTTTACATCTAAATACAACTCTTAGTCTAAATTATCAAATTTTTCCTGTATGAGTAAGGTTCAAATCATATTTGTCATACATGATTATTGTTTAAACTTGTAGAAAATTGGGCCAGAAAGTCATGAGACAGAATAAAAAAGGATAATTGACTAGAAAGAATTGGATAGAATACTTGTTACATTTAGAAGTCAAGATTATAAAAACAAAATGACATCAAAGTATCCATTTTAGAATGCTTAGAATTAACTAACACACACACACACACACACACACACACACACACACACACACACACACACACATAGAGTGAGGACAGGGGAAACATTATCATATACTCATCCCATAAATGAGCGACGAAATGAAAATGAAATTGTATTTTTACTAATCAAGTTTGCAAAACTAAAGGCATCAGCGGCATCTGTTGTTGATAATGTTCTGAGGACACAAAATGGCTGGCAAAGAGGCTAAATGGCTCATCCTTTACAGGGAACAGTTTCCAAATAGGTGTGGATAGAGTGGGCATGTGTACTCTGGACACATCCATCACTCCCTAAGGATGAACTCAGAGACCGTAACTACACAGTGTTAGGATTTACATGTAAGACTGTTCACTGATGATTGTCACGGGTAAGAAACTTAGAAGTATCTAGTTTTGTAAACAGAGGATTAAATAAGTTCTGGACTGTGCGGCAGGATGCCACGCCACTGCTGTCTCACCTGAGTTGAATCTCGATGGTTGAGCACAGTAGGGAACGCTTTCTATATGGTTAAGCAAAGAGAGGGCCCTGGTTTAGTAAAGGGTCTCATGGCAGAGAGCCATTTTCGTTGTTTTAAGTTTAGAAGGAGAACACACATGAGATGGAAACAAACCAAACCACTAATGGTGAGCATCCCTGGAAATGCAGAGGTGATCAGAGGCAACCTCACGTTTCTATTTTACACAGTTAGGCAATTATTTGAACGCCATATTAAGCAGATACTCCTTTTGTGATCCAGACAAAAATGATAATTCCCTGCTGAAAAATAAATAACTTCAGAACGGAAAAAAGGCTTCGGGGGAAGTTTTTCAAGCTCATTTATCATTAACTGAAATAAATTTTAGTTGGATTCAAGTTAGGCATAAAAATATTATATAAACACTAGAAAGGGAATAAATTATTAGTAATCTCTGGAGAGAAAAGAATGTCCAAACACAGGGAAATGTAGGAAACTACATACAGGGAAACGATATTCTTCATTTAACCTAAAAACTGAGAGCTGACTTTTGTATACCAGAATCATCATGAGTAAAATTGGGGAATTTTTTTTCACAACTCTGCCAGAAAACAGTTACTTCTGCTGATTCATGAAGGCTTTACAGAAAATGTTAGGATAAACAATGGGCACTCAATTTAAAACTAGCCAAAGAAGGTATACAGGTGGCAAAACCATGTTTTGTTTTGTTTTTTAACACCCCATCTATCATCCATTTCTAAAAGGAACACAAAAAACACTGGAGACATTTTCTTCATTGTTTCGCCTCTTATATTAGCAAAGATTTTGATGAAATAATACTCAGTGCTGGAGAATGGAGAACCTGGCCTGGCTGACAAAGGTACAAGAGAACAGAGTTGTTGTTTCTAGCTGTGTGGAGAGCACTGGAAATATGGAAATCTTTTACTGTGCACGTAGAACAAGATACTCACAATCCCACATGCATGTTCACCATTGTAGAAATGGAGGGTCAGTATCCATAGAAGCCACTCCTTACCACAGACACTGAGAGCCTAGGAAGGAGCTCTTACCACCCAGGGAGTGGTCGAAGACTACATACACTGACGCATGGCCTAGCAGGAAAATCAGAACCAGTGCTGTAAACCAGGGCCACATCCAGTGAACACATTTGCCCTGCTTTGGTTTTCCAATGTGCATGCGGTATATTTGGGGTGTTAAACATTCACACCAACACTCAGTGATGTGAGCAAGGAGAACATGGCTTATCTGGGAACGTGACTGTAGTGTCAGGAGAGGAGCAGGCCAGAAGTGGAGTCACGTCTTCTTGGTTTCCTGCCTGGGGAGGACCAACACATACAGATGCAGGTGAGGCTTGATGGGACACTGTTCCTGTGTCCCTGAGTCACCACATTATCCTAGCCGCTTAGCTCTGCTTCAGTTATCATTGTGAATTTTTCCCAAACCAACAGAAGGAACAAGGTAGACTCCAGGAAGGAACCTAGCTCCACCATCTCCCCTACCTACCCAGGCAAGGAAATGGCACATGGCTCTTCCAGGAACCCATTATAGTTTAGAGAGGGAAAAATAAAAGGAAGCAAGGATATACCACAACACTTACTTTTCTCAGAGCATGGATTGTATATACTGTGGTATATCCTGCTTCACTTTATTTTTTACTATTTCCCTTTACTTTTCTTAAAGTAAGTATTGTGCTATTCTTAATGACATCATTTTGGTACTAATTGCCGAGAGATTTTATTACAATCAAAGTGTTTGTTAGTCACTGTTGGAGACTGCCATGTGTTCTTTTGTTTTGTTTTGTTTTGTTTGTTTGTTTTCATGTGTTCTTTCAAGGTGACCTAGGCCCAGGGTCAGTCTGGGAAGGCACAGGGTATGGGAAGAAGAGACCATCAGCATAAACCCAAAGGCTGGATGAGAAGATACATTAGTGTCCTGTTGCTACTGTGACATATCGCCACAGACTTCTTGCTAAAGCAACATAGACTCACCACTTTAACCTTCTCTGGGTCAGACGTACCACAAGGTCTAGTAAACAAAATCAAGATGTTGACAGCACTTCATTACCAGAAGTTCTGGGTGGAAATCCGGTTCTAGGCTCATTCGAGTCGTTGGCAGAACTCAGTGCCGTACAAATCCAGAACAAGTACCTGAGCCTTTGGTGACTTCTAGCCAGAGTTCCCCTAAGCCTTTAGAGATTCCTGAGGTCCTGTGTTCTCAGAGTCTCCTTCCATCCTCAAATCCATGCATGGCTAAACTCTTCTACACATGCAAATCTCTTCCTCCTCATTTCTGTCATCATCATCATTATCATCATCATCATCATTTTACTTATTTTGGTTTTTCAGGATTGGGGATTGAATCTAGGGCCTTATACCTACTAGGCAAGAACTCCACTAGTGAGATGCAACTTCAATCCTTTTTCCTTTATTTGTGTTGAGACAGGATCTCACACAGTTGTGCAGGCTGGTTGTCCATCGTTCTGTGGCCCAGGCAGGCAGGCATTGAACTTGCTATCTTCATGCCTCAGGCTTCTGAGTGGTTGTGATTAAGAATCATCTGCCATGGCACCACCTTATTACTATGAAGCCAGCCAGAGAAGTTCCACTGCTTCTCTAGACTCAAGTGAATAGATTAGAGCCATGGAAAACCGGCCTGCTCTAGTCTCAGGCTGGCTGATTTTGTAGACTTGATATCCATAAAGCTGCTTCTTCACAGTCCCTAGATCTGTGATTCATTCAACATCCACGGAGGCAGCAGTTTTTTCTTTGGGGTGGGGCATCTATAGAATTATGCCTACCATAGATGATCTAGAAGATAAAATAGAGACACAAGCAATTTGGTGACCACTGATATCTAAAGGATGGAGAGAGAGATGACCATAAGTTCATCCTTGTGACTGCATTTGGCCAACAGACCTCAGGGACGATGATGGCAATTATTCAGCTCTCTCCTCTTCCTATTCTTTGCTGTAACCCCTCTCCCACATTACCTTTTGTCCAGTATGGTGTCAGAAGGAACTGGACAGGGATGTGTCTACACTTCAGGAATCAGTCCTTTACCAAGAAGGCAAGCATTACCCAATGCACCCCAAACAGACATCTGTGAGTTCTAATTGACTCCCATCATCGCGGCTTATGCCTATCATTCATGTACTAAAACAAATGTTTTATGTCTACAAATTATTCAATATTTAGAAAGGAATTAGGCATTATTATTATTGGTCCCATTTCAGAAATGAAGCTCATAAAGTCAATCAGTTTTTCTGAGTTTACTGATTAGAGCAAGGTAAGTTGCTTAGTCATCAAAGCTGCAAGAGAAGCTGGGAGACTGGTTGACTGTGACGGCCAGGTTTTCCAAGGATCCAGAGAGTACCCTGAGTGTCTTTAAGGATTTTCAGGGTTTCTGTGAGCCCTTGCCTTTTCCAACTATTTCCCCTGGCATTGACCCTCCAACCAAAAGAGCTCATTGCATCAGCCTGAACACAAAAGCAAACATTCAAATCCAGTTGTCTCCTATTAAGCTGGACATTAAAGAGATTTGCAAAAATGTCAAGTGGTATCTCACTAATTTCTTTGAAAACATAGATGTTTTCCAGAAAACATGTGTCATTTATGCTACCATGTAATGGATTTATTATTGTTAATTTTAAGTAATATAAATATTTTTTACATTCTCATTTGTAATCTCTCTGTGTAAACATCAATAAATATAACCCTTGTAAACAAATGCTCTTTGGTGCCTTTAACAATACTTAAAAGTATAAAGAAATCCTGAAACAGTTTTTCACTCAAAATCAAATCAAATGTCTGCAAACTGTGGCACCTGGGAAAAAAGTCTAGCCCATCACCTTTTTGATAAAGGAAGTTTTGTTTTTTAAACACCACTATGTTATGTTTTCAGAATAGTACCTGTCACTCTTTTCTCACCCTTTTAAGAGAGATGAATACTTGTGACAAAGAGTGCAAGGACACAAAACACATTTACCAACTGGCCTTTTGGTGAGAAAAAAAAAGCCAACCTCGATTTAGACACACTTGATTCAGCACCTAGGGCTTGACACACTGTCATCTTGGTGGGGTTGGGGGAGGCAGGATAAAAATGAGGTTTCTGATAAGTGTGAGCAAGACAGATCCATCCTCCATCCTCTACCAGCAAAGCTTGATTTCAAGTCGGGTGTGCAGGGTAAAGTCATCACCACAGCAGCTAGGCCAGGGTCTTCCATGGTATACTGTAGATACTCCACAAGTAGTGATTAAATAAAACCAAATGAATGAAGCCACAGTGCATTTCCATGCTCTATCTAAACTGATCCCTGTCACTCTCTTCTCTCATTAATGAAACACTTTGGAAATGACCTAAGGATCCATTTTAATTTTGATCTGGTAATTGGTGAATTCCCTTCCCATTCCAGCACTCGGAGTTCGCCAGCAAGTATCAGTCTCCATAAACTTTTCACTATTGCCTCGACCCCTCTCCCCCCAACTCCACACATCTTGCCAGAAGGACTTCTGCAGCATTAACATAATGAAACAACTTATGCCACACCAGGGTACAACCGTATCCTGTTTCTATGATAGAGTTGAAGGCAAATTGTGGATTGTCCTTACATAGCTTTGACTCTGTGAACTGTCCAGGCTATTTTAAATAATCATTCTGCCTAAAACACATTGGTCCATGCAAGTCTTGTCTTTGCCCAGTGTTGGTTGTCAAACTATTTGACAATTGATATGGCCTGCCAATGGATTGTTTTGCATTCAATACAGTGGCTGCACCTTAAGCAACTGCTTTTCCAACCAGCAAATGCAACTCTGCAGCTACCAGCAGCAGTTTGGCTGCATGGGATGCATGGGCTGCAGGCAGGTGGGAATTCTGTTCCCTCAGGCACAGGCTCTATCACAGGGCTATAGGACACTTTATCTAAATCTCTGTCCTCCTATAGAACTCAGGATTCAAAGGTTGAGGTGAAATCCTGCTAGCTCAGAGAGGATGAATAGCAAATAGCTAACCTTCTTTCCTTGCTCATGTCTCCGGAATAAAGGGCCGTCCTTCCGCTCAGCCCCCACTAAAGAACCCTTGCTACACTTAGTTCCTTCCTACCACTCCTGTCAGCTACTTGCTGACTCAGCCTCCTGACCCCAGGTTAATTTTAGTTAATCAAACAAATGTAACATGTCTTTACACAGTTAAAATAATATTCCACAACACCACTGGCTGACTGCATGGGAACTAGCCCTAGGCAAGCATGTGATTGCACTCAGGCATCTAAGCTGAAAGTGAGTCCTGTCCTGCCTTTCTGCTGGCCTGGGGAAGGATTTCCTTCATTCTTCTTTTGGGAATAAATAAGGCTTGTCACAGTATAAGCCATGTTTTCCACACTCTAATGTATTTAATTAAGAGAATAAAGCCACCCTTCTATAGATCACGCCCCTAAGCACCCTATGGTCCCATTCTGATGAGGTCTTTGGAGAAGGTATGTAGGATGAAGGGCAGGATGGGAAGCCTGCCCATTCTGCAGAACCGTCTTCCTTCATGGAGCCTGTGGTTCTGGCTATTGATTGGCTGGAAGAGATGCACATTTATCTCTCCCTGAACTTCCTGCAAAGCATTTGTGGTGGTACCTGAAAGCCACAGTCATAGAGAAGCAGGGACACAAGAATGAACAGCTTATTCATTCATTTGGCCAGTGTTTCCTGAGTGCTCCTCTCAGTGAGGGGCTGTGATGTATGGAGACTGAGAGAAGGAAATAAAGCCAGTGACCCTGTGGAGCTTGTTACCTGTGGAAGGATCAGGCCTGTCAATGGGCAGTGCCACCAGATACAGTGTGGCTGTAGTGCTGAGCAGGAGGCTGAGGAAACATGGGGAAGAATTCCAAACTTCTGCAGGCTAGGTCAGGAGAGGCCTTGTCGGGATGCAGCATCCAACTTAAGTCCCCAAGTCAGCTAGGTGAGGCTTCCTAAGAGAGAGGGGAGAAAGCTGGGACCTTAGGAAAATGTGCAAACCCCGTGGGAGAAGCAGAGGGCGAGTGTGGACAGGGATGCTGTAAACAGGGTCAATATGACAGAAAGGCAGGACCAAAGTGGAGAGATTAAGATAGATCAAGAGTTTACCCTCTTCTGTAAACACTGTTGGGGGTTTGTTGTTGTTGTTTGGTTTTTTTGTTTTTGTTTTTGTTGTAAACACTCTTAAGGGGCTTTGTACTTTGTCCTAAGGGAGACCCACTGACATACTTTTCTTTGTTAAGTAAGGAAGTGACAAGCTAAGATGAGCATTCTGAAATATCTGCAGAGAACAACAGGGTTCAGAGTCTAGATGAGGACTCTGTGAAACAGGACAATCAGGCTTCAGCCATCTCTGGCAGAGGAACATCCCTTACCCCAGGGCAGCTGGTGACCCACGACAGTGTCTTTTAGCTGTTGAAAGCCGTTCTTCCTTGGGGCTCAGCTTTCTAAATCAGCCCTCCCAGAGTGTAACTGTCCTTGGGGAGCTGACTCCAAAACCTCTCTGGGGTTGGATAAGACAACAGAAAGATGTCTGGAAGAAAGTCGAGGGAGTGAGTTACCACATTGCAGGGGCCAAGGTAGTAAGTCCCACGGCTGCTTCCTGCTGAATCATCACACAGACTCCTTACAGCTGAGTCCTTACCAGCCTCCTCTCCAGCTGCAGGCAGCAGGGTCAAGGCCATAGGCCACCACCAAGGAGGGTCTTCCCTGAGCCATGCTGTGCTTGCCTCATTTGTGACAACCAGCTCTACAGACTCTCCGCTCATAGCATTAGAGCAGGCCCACAAAGGGTTCTCACGGTGGGAATAAGAGGGGTGCTGACTTATTGCCTAGCTGCAGCAGCCAGCGACATCTACATGTGCTGAGTCTGACATACCCCCATCGACAAGAAGTAGGTACCAATGACTCTCTGTAGCGACTGATGACTCTCTATAACCACAGGGGATTGGCTATAGGACCCCAAAGAACTTCAAGTTGAATCAATATAAAAGGTTGGTTTTGCAAATAACCTATGCACATCCATCCTCTTCCTACACTTCCATCATCTCTAGATTACTTATGCTACCTAGAACCACAGGAATACTACAAACAGTTGTTAGACCATGTTGTTCAGGGAATATAGATGAAAACTATCTCTATATGTTCTGTGCAGACATGATTTTCTTTTTCAAATACTTTGTCTGTGTGGTTGGTTGAATTCATGGCTATAGAGGGCCAACTGGGTATTCTTCCCACCACTGTAGAGATGTGCACATGGAAACAGAAAGGAGCCTGTAGCTAGAGAGTGGCAGAACTGGCTCAGGAACCTAATCCACCAGACTCTAGAGCCTTGCTTTCATCTGCCTGGCCATGCTGCCCAGGGAGCACAGTGCAGGACCTGGGGCCTCTTTCCTCTGCTGGATTCCGCTACAGGAAAGAATCTGAAAAAAGTTCCTAGGCTCCTTGCTCCCCTCTTACGAGGAATCCTGAACTTTAGAAACCCTTTGCCTGGCTGTTGTATTTTGGACATCCTTTGAAATGGTACTGACTTCCTTGGTCTAGTAATGTGAGTTTGAGGATTTCTATGGGAAACTCTATATATCTAAATACACAATATTACTGTTGGTTATCGTATTAAAATATGGACTTTAAAGCAATGAACTAGGGATGAGCAAACAACAGGACATCCAAGTGTTTCTCCCATGATTCTTTCTAGTGTTGGACCATTTGCACGGTACCGATGTATATTTGTGGAAGGAATTTGACCAGGGATGGAGAACCCAGATGCCTGGGTCCACAGTCAGGCCATTGGCAGTAACTGCCATCTCCATGTCAGAGTTTCCCCAGGAATAGCCAGTGGCCCCAAGTGGGGCCCCCTCCTCTCTTCCTGAAACTCCTAGTTGAACTTCAGGCCAGCTCCTTGAAGGCTGGTCTGGTGTTAATTATGATGCAATCCCCCAGCCATGCAGCCTCAGCAACAATTTCAGGAGTCAGGGTCCATGTGCAAGGCCATTAACACTAAACATGTTTTAATCCATAATTGTGCGAGATTTATTTAATTTAGGGGCTTTATTTATAGTTCGATCGGAATTGTAATGTATTTTCAGCTCTCCGCACTGGGATCTGTCAATTTTTACAGCATCTTTTAATTGTGTTCTTCTAGGGCCAGGTGCAAGCAGTTTTCCAAAGCAGGCTGATCAGAGAAGGCCCCTTGTCATGTGGTGCGGTGGGGGAGGGGCGCTGGCCTCACACAAACGTGGCTCTATGCCATTATGGGTCAGGGGTGCTGAAGCTGGATCCTGATGCTCTGAGCCCATAGCTTAGAAGTCACAGTCTTAAGCCTAGCCTGGCTAGCCTTTTCCTTCATGCTCTGTCAGCACTTGTGTGTCAGAATGAACTCCCCCAAATCTCTCTACTGTCCCTTTGTTTACTCCTTTGTCCATTTAACAAACATTTACTATCTCAGGGTGTGTGCCGAGAACGCAAACACAAAGATGTGCAAAGCAGTGGCCAGCCTTTCAGGAGTTCTCGGTACTACAGGAAAGGGTAAAGCAGAGAGGCAGTGGCTACTCACGGAGCATCTGGTTAGTGCCAGGCGCTGGAAGAGACTGTAGAGTCACAGTGCTTACAGATTCTGGGAATTTGGTCCAACCTAATTCATTGAAATGACTAAAATTTGGCTGAAAGCTATATATAGTTAGCAAGTCAGTCAATGCAGCAGTTTGGGGTACATACCTACAGATCTCTGGCTATCCTTCTGATTGATGGTAAGGAATATTTTACTTAAGGATGAAATCTCTTCCCCCTATTACTTTTTGAGTGTCAATGATGATTTTCAAACTTCATAAGAGTACTCTGAGAAGTCTTCGTGCGTCTTTAAGCGTTTAGTCTGTTTTCCCCACGTTATTTTCATCCAGATCATATGCTGCCACAAGCTACAGCTCTTGGCATGAAGACACTAGAAGTTGAAGTAACAGAGTGGAGGAAGAAAGGTGGCCCTGCCAGCTGGGAACACGCACTGGAGAGAGGTTCCTTCAGACATGACTGGAGGAAGCTGTCACCCAACACCGTGCTACAAGCAAGACACTCAGGAGGTCATGGGATGTTAGCATGTGATTCTGCACTGCCAGAGACCAGAACAATGCCAAGCACATTATCAATAAGTAGCAAATGGATAATAAGAAAGATCAGATATGAAAAAGAAGGCACCAGGGCTAAGGCTTTGCTGGCTGGAAGAACTAAGACTGTTGGCCCAGGAAACACAAAGAAACCCTTGTTATCTCAATCCCTCCCAACATCATCGAGCTAATGACTTTAGTTAGGAAATCCTCAGAGAAGTATGAAGTAAGGCCATTCTCAGCTCACAGAGGAGGACTCTATCTGGGGGGATTTCAATAATTCACGGTCCCCAGTTATGAGAGCTAAGAAAAGGAAGGTGCTGGGTGCTCCTGGGAAAAAGGTACATTCCTCTAGGTTTGTACTGAGGTCCAGCATGCAGAGATGGAGCAGCTACCAGAGGCAAGACATCGCTCCAGGAGGGATTTTTCAAATTGGAAGCTATGATGATGCAAAAATGGTTTGCTATAGGTCGAGAATAGCTTCCAGGTTGAAGGAGTTCTAGATAGAGAAAATAGAACACAAGGCGCCCTGTGAACTGTCGCCATGCACTGGTGTCAGCCCTTCGTGTATTTAAGCATTTTGTCTGGATTTCCAGTGTTTCCCTGTTTCTGTTCCTTCGGCCTCTCTTGAAAAGCCGGTTAGGAAGGGCTCCTGAGGCCACATGCGAGGCCCGAAGGCCACTTGAAACTGTTCACTGAGGGGTGTCTCCTGATGAAGACAAGAGAGGTGTGTCCTCTGACTGGGGTGGCAAAAGGCTGACAAAGCCTGCCCTCCTCCACAAAGTTCTCCTCTGGGAACAGGGAAAGCGATTTCCTCATGACAACCCAACTTGCCTGTGATGCTCACCCCACACAGCTCTGGCTCCTTGGGAGCCCAGCAGTGGGGAAGGAAATGCCACCTTTTTGAGATATATGAGGAAATACAGCACCATGTGGAAGAAACTAGACAGGTAGAAAGAGTAGGAACTTTTGCTAAGCATTTATTGAGAACCTACTGTGTGCTAAATACTATGGATGGTTAGAAAAGATAGGAACCAAAACAGGCTGCCCTTAAGACTCTAGCAGAAAAGTGTGGCTGAGTACTCTGAAGCTGCCTAGAATAGAAACAGCTGGACAGCCGCCTTGGCCAACTGGAGAAAGAATACATTAAGATATCATATAGCCTGATCTACTTCCTTTAACGCCTAACGGCCCTTGAATGTAGTACACTATTTAATCAATTCTCTCAGTCTCCGGCTAGCAGAGAAAATACCAACAGTGTGTTGAGGAGGCTTGGATCAAAGAGGAGAACCAGTCTATTGTGTCCTACCCAAGGCTGGGGTTCTGCAGGTGGCCGTCGGTCACACTAAGACAGACAATGTCCAGAGATGTGACAGCTTGGTAGTTGAGGGACTCTAAGATATCAGACTCAGAGAAGGTTAGGGAGGGAGTGTGCACCTTTAAAGAATGAGTCGGATGGGGGGTGATAGTGGGACAGACAAAGCTTGGGCTCTGAAATGATCTGGTTTCTACTACATTCTAGAGGTTCTCAAGGATCCCTGACTCCTGATCTCTATATATGACATTGGGAAAGGCTTTCTTTTTCTTTGATTCATAAGTTAGGGTAAGAAGATTTGGGAACACATGAAAGGTTATTAGATAATTCTGCTGTGGGATGATCCTTCTGGATGCTGTGAATATGTATTACTCTCATTGGTTAATAATAACGCTGTTTGTCCTATAGCAAGGCAGGATAAAGTTAGGTGGGACAATCAAACTGAAGGCTGGGATGAAGGGTGGGTGGTGTGGAGCATGCTGCCCTAGAAGCAAGATGCCAGAGGACTAGTAAAGCCATGGGCCACATGGCAATATATAGATGAATGGAAGTGGCTTAATTTAAAAGTAAGAGCTAGTTAGTAATAAGCCTGAGCTCTTGGCTGAGCATTTTGTAATTAATATAAGCTTTTGTGTGTTTATTTGGGACCAGGTGGTCAGAAACAGAAAAACTCTGTTTATACAATCCTTTGTAGGTAAATTCACAAAATTGTGAGATACCTTGGATGCCATCTAAGAAGGCAAAGTTTATTCCTTAGGAGACTGCAGCAGTGTCTTGGGACGGTCACACTGGAGGGGGAAGCCTGGGAGAGCCGGTGGAACAAGTGGGCGGGAGAGATCAATGGAGGAGACCTAAAGGAGTGCTGTTCCTAATGCTGGCTGGAGGAAGACGATGCCTTTGACTCTTTGGAGTTCACAGAATTCAGGACAGAGAGGCAGAAGTAGGAGGAAGGGGAACTTGTCTGGATTTACACAGACTAAGCCTAAAATCCCAGAAGGAAGTTCCTATGTGGGAGGTATCCTGCCACCATGCACCCGGAGCCCACAGAGGGACCCATGGCATAGTGGCCGCTCTTAAAGGTAAGAACTGAACACGTGGGCTGGATGGAAATTTGTAAGGCCAGAGGGCATGAAGAATTGGGCCAAGGAGATGGCCAAAGACCAATGAGAAACCGTGGTTCCAGGAAAGGGAAATCTCAGCGGGGCGTCCAGGCGAGTTTCAAGGACAGGGGCATTCACAGTCAGGGGCTTAGGCCATCAGTTTAAGGGAGAACATTGGTGACCGTGGTAAATGACCAAGTGACAGGTGAAGAACTGAAGCTGTGAGCACTGGAAGCCAGTGGAGGAAGTTGTGAGGAAGGACAGAAGTGAGAAGAGGGGCTAAGCATTCAAGAAGACCCGGGGGGTGAAGAGAGGAAGTTGATCGGGTGGGATCTTGAAGGGAATGTTTTGTTTAAAATCTCTCATTTTACACCTGCGGCATCAGGAGAAAGACTGAAGACGCGAGGCAGAAATCACAGAAGACGGAAGAGACGGGGCAGGAGCTGCAAATGAGAACAGGCAGCAGAAGACCCCCACCCGAGCCTGACGCGGAGCACTCAGAACAGTTACTTGTTGTATGGCTTCAGACCCGGGTGTGCTGTCTTCATACCTCACGGGAGGGCCGATATCGGCTTCAGCATCGACGGCTCTTCCAAAAGGGGTCCCCTATGAGGCCTGCACAGGCTGCTTCCAGCCCCCTTGCTGTCTCAGAGCAGAGCGAAAAGAAGAGACTACTGGCAAGCAGTCTTACTGCTGAAGATGAGTGTGAATGTGACAGGCGTACGTGCAGCAAGACCCTAAGTTTTAGAATCTCGAGAGGGTAAAGGTCACGTGTCCTGCGGGCAAGCACTATCCTTGGTTTTCCAAGGACTGGTGTTTTCGGATGTGAACAATCAGAAGGTAATTTAAATAAGGTTCTTTTATCTCAGTTTATATAGTGAGCATTATGTGTGTGTAAATCTAATGACCTGCACTCCTAACGTACGGCTCCGTTTAATTTTTATATTACTTTAAACTTTTTGTGCATTTTAATTATGCAAGTACTACATGAATATATTCTCCTGGTTAAAATTTTTCTAACAAAATAGGTTTTTATCTCCAGGTCTTTACTCAGCCCTTTTCCTACCCAAGGGAAATGTGCATACATATTCAAAGTTGTAATTATATTTTGAAGATTTTTTTTATATCAAAATTTTAAATATTGTTTTTTAAACCTGGTTATAGATGTTATAAACCTGTGTTGGTATATTCGAACATACCTGTATTTAAAATTATTTATTTATTGATTGTCATTTTGTGTGTGTATGTGTGTTGTGTATGTGTGTGTGTGTGTGTGTGTGTGTTGTATATATGAGTTTGCATGTGCCATAGCACAGATTCGGAGGTCAGAGCACAACTTTGTGGAGAGGGCTCTGTCTTTTAACCTTTTTTGTGGGTTCTGGGGTTTGAACTCAGGTTACCTGGCTTACGCAGCAAACGTGTTAATCTGTTGAGCCACCTCTGTGGTTCCCATTTTAACATGATGCATAGAACCTTGAAGAGTTTGGAGAAAACATACTTTGTTAATTGCCTTTCCTATGATGAAGACTGTCCCCATTTTGTGTCATTATCAGAGTACCAAGTACCATTCCTCAGTTCTCTTCCTGGTACTGATTAGGGCTGTGTACTTGGTGAGGAGACTCTTGAGTGTCATCTGTGACAGACACTGGCTGTGTGTGTCTTCACACCTTGGCTTGGCTTGCCTTCTGCATTAGGATTGTGAGTGGGGAGGACTGTGTGGCAGGTGTGCTTTAGTGAATAGTGTATTCAAGTGCACTTAAACATCCCGAAGAGGAGCTGCGTCTTTAAGTTGTAACCAAGATGGTAGCTGGGTCATCATGCCCTCGAGGTTTTCCAGAAAGTGAAGCGGCTTTCTTCACATGCCAGAATGGGCCTAAGTCTCCAGCCTTGTCCTTCTTGGGCGTCTTTGGGGAGTATTCCTGTGTCCAGGAATACTGCCTCCAGACGCTGCCTTCACTGTGCTGATTCTTACAGATCATGGCTGCATTTCAACAGTCCTGTCATTGCTTTCCACAGTACTGCTCACCCAGGGCCTCTCTGTGGGCAGACACAGGGGTAACCCCTCCCCGCAACATCTTGAGTTTTAGTACTGGTAGGTAGTGGAAATCTTTGCCTATTTGGGAAATCTTTGCTAGTTCCCTGTCTCTCAGCCATTTGCTCAGTACCTGTCCTTCCCACCCCACCTCTTTAGCATTTGAAGCAGAGACATTCTCCCATCTTTGTCTCTGCTGTTGGAATCCCGCCTTGGCTCTCACTTCCCAAGCAAGACTTGGGAAGTGACTTCCCAAGCAAAGACTCTCCATCCTTTATCCAGAGGTGCATTATGTTAGTGAGTCGGTAACATTTTGCACCCCTTAAATAGATAACTCCACTCTCCTGGAGCACCCTGGGAAACTTCCCACACAGTAGCCCAGTTGCTGTACCTTTGACAAGACTGGATTGGAGGGATTTGGGAGAGGACCGAAGGAAATATGTTTCACAGAAATATCCTTCCTAAGAGGAAGAAAAGATGATTTTAAAAGACAAAGACATTTGAGATGAGTATGAACTGCTGCTCTTGGCCTCGAGCAATGGAAGGCTGGATCCCCAAATTATCTGTTTGCTGTGGGTCAGCCAACACCTGGCACCACCACCAGGTTCTGCCTGACCTCTTCTGAAAAGCCCTTAAGGTGAATTCTCCTTGGAATTTGTTGGTTGACCTGCTTTCTAATGTAAGGATTCTTTTCAGCCTGTGAACCAAGAACTGTTCTGAAGGACTGAACACCATGAGCAGATGTGAGCACAATTGTGGAGCCCTGAAACTTCAGAGAAAGCCAGAATTGTACTAGGCTTCATTTCCTTAGGAGAGGAAAGTAATTCCATACTAAACAGCTATGACTATTTTGATTATATAACTCAAAAATAATAGATTCCTTGTTTTTTAAATACATCAAAATAATATATTTAACTTTTCAAAAGAAATAAATCCACCTAAAACCAGATTTGATGCTGGCACGCACACATTCACACACACACACACACACACACACACACACACACACACACGCATGCACTTGCTTGTTGACAACTTTTTATTGTCTAAACCTGCCTTGAGTGTTTTCAAAAACCATTCTCTCCCAGTGGAAGACTTCTCTGATCAATTTTTAACATTCGGTGATTTTTTTTTTAAAAACTAAGATCAATATAAATAATCTCTCTAACAAACACAGAATAGAAATCGTAAAAAATGAATAGAAATTGTAAGGAATTAGCTGATTTGGCCCTAGGGTTCCTCTGCTCAAGTAGACTTTGGACCCTGAACATCCAGTGAAGACCCCTGAGAAAGCTGTTAGGAAAGTGAAGCCTTAAAGAAGACAGACGGTAGGCTCTTTAAATATTATATGTTTGGGTGGATTTTATATCCAAAATGAGTTTTTAAACTCAATGTCATTTTTTTTTTCTTTTGGAGAATCCTGTCATAGGAATCTTAGAGAATGTGGCAGTAAGCAACAGTAAGCACCCTCAGTCTTCATGGCTGCTAGGTATTTAATTCTGGATACCGATGCATCATAGGACAGTGGCTTTCTCCTGTATCATCTACACAGGCAGGACCCAGGCCAAGCAGCAGTCCAGTCCAGAACACGGGCAGAAGGAAAACTGATGCAGACTACACCTTGGCTTCTAATGCATCTACTGGGAAGTTATCAGCAACCGTTCCGTTCATATTTTATTGGCCAAAGTAAGAAACATGGCTAATTGTAGTGTCAGAGAGGCAACAAAGCATGCTCCTTCCCCCAAAAAGTTTGTATTAGGAACGAAAGCATATCCCTGTAGGCAGAACCGCCAGGAACCCCTCCTCCCCTCTCCATTATGGGCTTGCAAAGACTACACTGGCAAGAGACGGGCCATCCAAGACTGACCCTGGATTGATCGAAAGCCGTCTCTGAGTCAAGCAGAAGTCCCTTTGGGCCAAAGGGTGCCAGTCAGTTGTGGATTCCAATGTCTGGAACCAAGAACACAAGGCGGGTCCTCACGAGCCCCGCCCTGCAGTGTGAGTCGGCGCTGGTTGCCTGGGATTTAATCTCTCCTGTGCAGTGCTGGGGCTTAGTGATCCTCTGCAGGATAGCAGCTCTTCTCCCTTTGTGTAACTGTCAGTCATTCCCTACTGCTTCCGGGTAACTGTCAGTGGTTCTCTACTGCTTCCAGGTAACTGTCAGTGGTTCTCTACTGCTTCCGGGTAACTGTCAGTGGTTCTCTACTGCTTCCGGGTAACTGTCAGTGGTTCTCTACTGCTTCCGGGTAACTGTTGGTTGTTCTCCACTGCTTTCTGACAAGAACTTGATGGCACAGGATGGTCTGCAGTTAACCTACACTCAGTTTCTCATCACTAGGATTGTTGTGATCCGGGCCTTGTTACCTAGAAACAGTTTTCACTAAAAGACAGTGGATAAGTAACCTGAGTAGGAAGGCGACTTGAGTCTTGGTTCTGTGAACTCATCAGATGGCAAAGCAAGGGAACACACACACACACACACACACACACACACACACACACACACGCTTGCACACACATACATGCACACATACACACACACGCTTGCACACACACATGCACACACACATGCATGTACACACATGCACACACACATACACATACATACATGCTTGCACACACACACACAGGACTTTGTTAACAGGTCAAGATCTGGGTAATGTGAGCCCTGAAGAGTAAAGATGGCAGGCAGTGAGGTCTCTTTAGACATACCACCTGTTCTAGTTTGCTGGGGACAGTCTCAGGTAACCACCTTTGGGGACATGGGAATACAGTGTATTCTTTGTAGTGCCTTTCTTCCACGTTAAAATGTTTCCTGGCTTAGACAGGAAGTGAAGATGTTGTTCTCCTCTAATGGGAATGGTCTTGAGTCAGAGCTCAGAAGATCTGCCTTGATTGGTGGAGTGACCCCAGGTGGATGAGGTGAACTGTCTGCACCTCAGCTTTCTCATCTCAAAATGTGAGAGGGGACATCATTGAGATCATTAGTTAACTCAAAGTGTGTCCTGGTTTTCAGGACAGTATAGCAGCACCCTCCATCTACCAAGGAAGATGAGGACTAATGGGGCCACTCTGACTGTCCTGAGGTGTCCATCTGACTGTCCTGAGGTGTCCATCTGACTGTCCTTAGGTGTCTTATCTGACTGTCCTAAGGTGTCCATCTGACTGACCTGAGGTGTCCATCTGACTGTCCTAAGGTGTCCATCTGACTGTCCTAAGGTGTCCATCTGACTGTCTGTCCTAAGGTGTCCATCTGACTGTCTGTCCTAAGGTGTCCATCTGACTGTCCTGAGGTGTCCACTCTGACTGTCCTAAGGTGTCCATCTGACTGTCCTAAGGTGTCCATCTGACTG